GTGAGAGGGGGGGAGGGGGTGGGGGAGGGGGGGTAAAGAATCGATATGAAAGGGGAGGGTCAAGATTTGACAATTGAGAAAATTGTGTGGGGGATCGACGGTTCACGATTCAAGCTTGGGAGGAACACTTTCCCCAGGGGCGTGTTTCACATTGGCGAGAAATGCTGTGTCAACGCGATGAACCCGGAGAACCGTCGATAAGTCGATATGCTGCTGACGAGGCTTCCACACCAGATTGTAACACCCCCAGCAATAACCAAATATAACTAAAAGCAAGTAAAAAGGTGTTGTGAATCCTATACCTTTTTTCATACACACACTCACACACACACATACACACACAAAAATCGTGTGTGCTTTAACGTCGTCATGTGTATGTTTGTATATGTTCAACGCGTTAAGTATATTAAGACAGCGTGGGTGACATGCACACTATGATAAAAAATCAATTGTGAATGTGCCTAACTGCTCTAAAATTCGGCGCACTCAAAATTGCAAGGCACTCATGCAACTTTCCTTGACCAAAATAGGCTATGTGTGTCCGGACAACAATCTTATACATCCATTATTAAGATATGCGAATTCAAACAATTGAGCGGGGAAAACCATGCAAGGAAAGGCGTGCGCGACACGTTGTGCCGTTTCGATGTTCGTATGTTAATTTCCTCAGGGTTTCTTTTGACCATTCAAACATCTATAATAATATGAGCATGCTGGAAAATTTTGACGCCATTTTCTCAACTACTCAATACGTGACGCTTGTTTGTTCGTTCGATGGCATGAAACTGTGCAAGGATAGGCATATACGCAACATGCCACCGTTGAATCGTCTGGATGTTTTTTTTAGCCCTAGTTCTCTCACATTTAGGTAGTAAATCCTATTTCCTGGCCATAGGAACTGGTTTGAGATTATTCGCCCAACTGCGCAGCTCGTGACGCTTGTTTGTGCGTTTGATGGCATGAAATTGTGCAATGATAGGCATGTACGCAAGATGTCACCTTTTAATCGTCTGGATGGTTTTTTTTGCCCTATTTCTCCTCACATTAATGTAGTACATCCTATTCACTGGCCATAGGAACTGTTTTGAGATCATTCGCCCAACTATGCAGTTCGTGACGCTTGTTTGTGCGTTTCATGGCATGAAACTGTGCAAGGACAGGCATGTATACAACATGTCACCGTTTAATCGTCTAGACGTATTTTTTAGCCCTAAATCTCCTCACATTCAGGTATTACATCCTTTTTTCTAGCCATAGGAACTGGTTTGAGATCATTCGCACAACTATGCAGCACGTGACGCTTGTTTGTGAGTATGATGGCATGAAACTGTGCAAGGATAGGCATATACGCAACATGTCACTGTTTAGTCATCTATACGTATTTTTTAGCCCTATTTCTCCTCACATTCAGGTAGAAAATCCTTTTCCCTAGCCATAGGAACTGGTTTGAGATCATTCGCACAACTACGCAGCACGTGACTCTTGTATGTGTGTTTGATGGCTTGAAACTGTGCAAGGATAGGCATATACGCAACATGTCATCGTTTAATCATCTCGATGTATTCTTTAGCCCTTTTTCTCCTCACATTCAGGTAGTAAATTGTTTTCCCAAGCCATAGGAACTGGTTTGAGATCATTCGCACAACTACGCAGCACGTGACGCTTGTTTGTGCGTTTGATGGCATGAGTCTGTGCAAGGATAGGCATGTACGCTACATGTCACCGTTTGATCATCTTGATGTTTTTTTAAGCCCTATTTCTTCTCACATTCAGAAAGTAGATCCTATTACCTAGCCATAGGAACTGGTTTGAGATCATTCGCACAACTACGCAGCACGTGACGCTTGTTTGTGCGTTTGATGGCATGAAACTGTGCAAGGATAGGCATGTACGCAACATGTCACCGTGTTATCATCTGGATGGTTTTTTTAGTCCTATTTCTCCTCAAATTCAGGTATTAATCCTATTCCCTACCCATTGCACCTGATTTAAGCTCATTCGCTCAACTACGCTGTACGTGACGCCTGTTTGTGCGTTTGATGGCATGAAACCGTGCAAGGATAGACATGTTCGCAACACGTCACCGTTTTATCATCTTGATGTTTTTTTTAGTCCTATTTCTCCTCACATTCAGGTAGTACATCCTGTTCCCTAGAAATAGAACTTGGTTTGAGATCATTCGCCCAACTATGCAGCTCGTGATGCTTGTTTGTGCGTCTGATGGCATGAAACTGTGCCGGGATAGGCATGTGCGCAAGATGCACCGGTAAATCGTCTGGATGTTTTTTTTAGCCCTTTTTTTCCTTCCATTCAAGTAATAAATCCTATTCCCCAGCCATAGGAACTGGTTTAAAATCATTCGCCCAGCTACGCAGCTCGTGATGCTTGTTTGTGCGTTTGATGGCATGAAACCGTGCAAGGATAGGCATATGCGCAACATGTTACCGTTTAATCATCTAGATGTTTATTTTAGCCCCAATTCTTCCTCACAATAAGGTAGTACATCGTATTTCCTGGCCATAGGAACTTGTTTGAGATCATTCGCACAACTACGCAGCACGTGACGCCTTTTTGTGCGTTTGATGGCATGAAACTGTGGAAGGATAGGCTTGTACGCAACATGTCACCGTTCAATCGTCTGGATGATATTTTTAGCCCCATTTATCCTCACAATAAGGTATTACATCCTAATCCCTGGCCATAGGAACTGGTTTGAGATCATTCGCCCAACTACACTGCACGTGACGCTTGTTTGTGCGTTTGATGGCATGAAACTGTGCAAGGATAGGCATGTATGTTACATGTCACCGTTCAATCATCTGATTGTTTTTTTACAGCCCTATTTATCCCCTCATTTAGGTAGTACATCCTATTCCTTAGAAATAGGAATTGGTTTGAGATCATTCGCACAATTAGGCAGCCAGTGACGCTTGTTTATGCGTTCGATGGTTTGAACTGTTGAAGGATATGCATATACGCAACATGTCACCGTTTAATCATCTGTATGCTTTTTTCAGCCCTATTTCTCCTCACATTCAGGTTTTAAATCCTATTGCCTAGCGAATGGAACTGGTTTGAGATCATTCGCACAACTACGCAGCACGTGACGCTTGTTTGTACGTCTGATGGCTTGAAACTATGCAACGAATGGCATATACGCAACATGTCACTATTTTATCGCCTGGATGTTTTTTTTAACCCCAATTCTCCTCACATGCGTAAAGCGACACTAGCGTCAATGCCTATCCGTGAACAAATTCTGATGCACACTGTAATTGAAAAGTATAGTGACATAATGTGACGTCAACACCGTAGGAGACATGGTAATGTATTACTTACAAAACAATTACGTTACTTTGCACTATCTGGCATGTTAACGAGCACAGGAATAGTTAGTTGAACTAAGAAAACAAAAGACATTATTTATGCCATTAATATGATGTGTTCATAACAGAAACGAAATGACATGAAATAATAGAATGATGCAAGAAACGCTCAAACGACATTATTACAATCGTGAAATCGCCAACACAGCAGATTCTCTCGACACCTAGAGCCAATGGGACACAAGTGCACTGTTCCCACAATGTTCCCGAAGCTGATATTGGCCCCGAACCTGTAAACCTAGTCACTCGACCAATGGGGAGATTTCCGAAGCTGAGGTCCAAGCTGCCCAAGCAAATTCGAGTTTTCCCAAGCTGCGTGCCCTGGTTTCTGTTCGACGAGATGCGTCGAAAGCACATTTCCCCACTCAAATCGAACAGATAGTTCAATCCTACTTTCCGTAACCCTACTTTTCGGGACTCCCCATTTTTTCAAGCCCGGATTCGTCATCCGCACCAAACACAATGCGATGCGGTATTTCTTCGTCAAGGACGAAGTGGACAAGGGGAAGGTGGACTTGACGTACTGCCCAACAGGTGACATGGCAGCTGACTTCCTGACGAAGCGACTGCCACGCCAGCAGTACCAGCACTGCTCCGAACTCAGCGGAGTAGTCAAGCAGGTCAAGTCGAGCTACAGCCAGGAGTCAAGGGGGGTGTTACGAATAGTGGAAATACTATTGTGCACTCCTAACCGCAGCTAAGTGAAGCATGCAGTATCGAGAATGAATGCGAAGAGTCAGAGTCGACTCGAAGCGACGCAGACAGTTGCAGCAGACGACATCGGGCAGCTGCAGGATTGATGGAATTATCGGGAACAGTTTCACAACTGTACGCGCCGCACGGTTGGGTTTGAATTTGAATAAGGGAATGCACCTATTAGAGTACATGACTAGATATGTCGTTTCGTATTCCCCTGTACAACTATTTATGTGCATGTATTTGCTTGATTTAATCATCTCGTACATTTTACATTCGCTCTGTTCGGATTCGGAGGTCAAGGGCCTACCACTACCAACCAAGCTGCATGTGAACCTTCCCGAGGTGATCCTAGGGTCGATCATTCAGTGATCATAGCAAACGCCACCAAAGTGGGGATGGGAATGTGAAGGTAATTTTGAATGGGCGTGTGAAAATCAAAGTTTATCAACGAGCAATCTATGTATGTAAGAATAAGTACAGCATTTTGAGCAGGAGTCTTGAGAAATAATGTGGAACACTTTGAAGCACGAATGACCAGCTTGGCGAACTCGACAGATTCTTGAATCGAGTACCCACAGGGTAACAAAATTGTTGTCGCTAGATTTTGCAACCCCGCACGATAGTGACCGATGGCGAAGCATACCCCCTGTCAGCAGTCTTCGCATACGCGCTGCTGGGGAGCAATAACCGTTTCTGCAATGACTCTGGGGAACACCAACAGTCTTCCCAGGGGAAGATCAAAATGGACTTGCTGCTTTTCCTCACAGGCTCTCGTCAATTCTTCTCTTCCTGCTTGTGTTCAGTCAACAGAACAGACGACAGCCGCTGGCATTACCGACGAGCTCTTGTCTGCTGTGATTCGTCGAGTTCGCTTGTAATTTGTCGGGTAGACAGCTTTTCTGGTTGCAAACGCGCATGTTGAACGCGACTCGGATACTGCATGTCGTTAGACACACAAAATGCCTCTAACTGTCCGTGCAGCTCCGGTTATTCAAACCTGGCGCGAAAGGAAAGTAGTGAGACGAGGCGACACATGAGGAGTCAGGACGGGTGAGAGAGCGATACGAGCAGTGATCCGGGTGGTAGTTAGCGCCGTCCTTTCGCTTAACCACCAGCAAACGCAGATTCCGTCGCATGAATTACAATATGACGGCAGATCGAGCAGCTCGTGAGATGTCTGAATGTCTCGGTGTTGCCCTCCGACTCCGTTTTCTTCTCCGTCGCTTGGCATGATGTCCCGCAAGCCGCATCCGCGCTACACCGCGACTGGCCAAGCGGACAATGAGAGTCTTCGTCGCGACGTCTCGCCCCAGTCAGACTCATCGCCACTGCCACAGCGACCGACGCGACAGTGGCATTCGGAACGACCACGTGCGATCGACGATTGCGATCACTTCCCATCACCCGCCTCCCGCCGACGCCTCATCTCCTCCAATGATCGAGTCGCTTTCAGAGACTCCTCATCCACCTCATCCGCTCAACGAGACACGAATCCTTAGCCAACTTCTCTCCAGAGCGCCTTTCACCTCCGCCTATAAAGCCGGCGCCATGTGCAGCCATGGAATCATCAGCTCCAATCGGCCTCTCTTCTCAATCTGCTCCACCAGAGCCCGTTTGCAGCAGCCTTCCGGCTCTCTCCAGCTGCTTGGCAAGCCCGATTCCGAGCCAACTCAGAAGCCACATCCGTGCAAGCCCTCACCCTCATGGCGACGGCTGGCATGCGCGTGCTGGTGCTGGCAGCGCTGGCGGTGGGGCTGCTAGCGGCGGCGGTGTGTGGAGCGCGGGACGCCATGAAGGTTGCCAGGGGCCTCGTCCCAACGGACGGGGCGGGGGCGGCGGGGCAGCAGAGGAAGGGCGGGCGCATTCTGGCGGCTGAGACCTACGCTCATGACGCCCCTCTGCCCGGCTACCTCGACCACATCCCCCGCCGCCAGGCCCTCGCCACCAGTACGTTGCTGCTGCTCCCTTTCTCCCTCTCTACGCTCGTTGCTGCTGCCATTCTTTCCCTCTCCACCCGCGCTGGTGCCTTGGCAGTGCTTCTGTTGACGCCCATGTCTCTGCTTTCCCCGCCATTCATTTCCCTGCTCCCTTCAGCACTCCTTTCCCTCTTCACCTCAGCACTCGTTCACCACCTGCTCCTCTCAGCACTCATGTCCTTGTTCCCCTCATCACCCATTCTCCCATCAGCACTCAGTTCCCTGTTCACCTCAGCACTGCTTTTCTGCTCCCCCACCACTCAGTTCCCTGCACCCCTCAGCACTCATTTCCCAGCACCTGTAGCACTCGAATTCCCGCATCGAGTCCTTAATTTCTTGTTCCACCCCATCTACCCCAACCCTTACTCCTCCCCAGCCTGTGGGCGCACGACGGTGACGATCCGGTCGCAGTACCTGGGGCCGTACGACCTGCACAACAACATCTACAACATGACCTTCTACAACGGCTGCGCCTACAACGTCACCAGCCCGCTGCGCGTGTACCAGTGTGCCAACTTCGGCAACGTGTGGGAGGGCAGCCTCGACAACCCCGCGCCCAACCCCACGCAGTACCAGACAGGCGACATCTTTGTGCAGTCCTCGATGGGGTACTGTGAGATGCGCATGAACCGCGGTGCTACCGGCACTGTGCAGATGTTCCCCGGGGAGACGGTCAACATTCTGATGCGTGGACCAGTGACTGGCGCCCTTGCGCGTCGGAGCTGCGCTTCAGCAACGGCAACAGCTACTCCATGGCCGACGTCTCCGAGTGCCAGGCTGCTGCCGTCATCTAGACCTCTTCGTATAGGGTGGCTCACTGTGTTGCAAGTTGTCTGTGAACTGGTTCAGAAAAGGGTGGTAATAATGCGTGAATGGCACCAATTGTCATGCGAATGCTATATAAGTACAATTAATGCACAATTCCATATGCTCATGGGATCAGCATTTCATGTGGGATTAGTTAGTTTAGCACATTTTCAACCTCTGCATTACAATGTTATACGTATTCACCAAATCAATAGGGTTGTCATTCTGACTTCATGCCTATCCTTCGCCCCCCTGTCCCCAATCGCATGCTCCCCCCTGTCCCCAATCCCATGCTGACCCCAGTCCCAATCCCATGCTCCCCCCTGTCCCCAATCCCATGCTACCCCCTGTCCCCAATCTAATGCTGCCCCCAGTCCCCAATCCCATGCTCCCCCCTGTTCCCAATCCCATGCTTCCCACTTTCCCCAATCCCAAGCTCCCCCCTGCCTCCTCATAGTCCTTCCCATGCTCCCCACTATCCCTGATCTCATTATCCCCCCTGCCCTCGTTCCCATGCTCCCCTCTGTCCTCTTTCCCATGATCCCCTCTGTCCTTACTCCCTTCATCCAAATTTCCCTTATTCCCACGATCCCCTCAGACATCACACCATCTCCCCGCCTCCCATTCCTTCG